TATTTTTGCTGGTCTGAATGTTGTCCCAAAAAGGATTAAACTGGGTTTTTAAGAAAATTGGATTGTGAGAGAGCAAATTGTGTTTCCGATTCCGTGGACACCTTTGCCTTTAAACACCATTACATTATTAAAACTCGACAGCTCAATCCAGATTTAAAATTTTAAAAAAAATTAAATTAAATTGGTGCCATTATTTGCGTGCTCGAATAAGTTAGTATCCTGAACTGACTTAAGATAATGAGAATCTAATGGAAAGATGCATAAAGTGGATGTCTGTATACAAATTCCAGAAACAAGAAATAGTTTGTGAAGTCTACTGCCATACTATTCTTGAACATTGAATTCTTCATATATTAAATTGTGAACTAACAATAATTCTCTGAATTCTAATATCGTATCTGCAAGAAATGGCATATAAAACTTCTTGAATGCATTGTGTGCTACTTTCTTCAAGTAATCCCTCAAATGCTATATTTCACGTCACTGTCGAGCCAAATGGGACATCTTGTAAAAATGTTTGTAGTCAGGCAAAGAACTACATGTAAGAACATCTCTTGTTTTTCGCACTGGCATTATCATTATTACTTGCCTTGATCTCAGATATGCATAAGCTGTGTAAAATCTGTCTCTTCATTGTATTTATAATGTTTACTTTTCTATTGAAAATGTATTATCTTTAGTTTTTATATTGATAGAAATTCGCTGTGTATCCTGCTGTAACATTTAGCATCAACGAAAAAAGAAAACCTTTAACTGAATAAATGTACATCACTTTGATTGCCACATAAATTTTGTACATTATCATTATTTACCTGTCTCTCGTTCCTGCATAATTTACATTTTTTAATTCAGGATCCATCTGCTTTGAGAAAAGTGCAAGAAGAAGTTGATAGAGTTTTACAGGGACGGCTACCTACATACGAGGACATAAAGAATCTCAAGTTCTTAACACATTGCATAATTGAATCAATGCGTCTATATCCACATCCGCCTGTAATCTGCAAATTTTCCTTCTCCGTTTGACTAAATGTTGTACATTCTTTTTCCTGATGATTGTTTTCCTGGAATAGGTCCTGTTAAGAAGAGCTCAAATGACTGACATGTTACCTGGGAACTACAGGGTCAATGCTGGTCAAGATATAATGATCTCAGTATACAATATTCATCACTCTGCACAGGTATCACCTTGATCTACTATATTGGCACCCGCCTGACAACAACGATGCATCTGTATGCCTTTAATAAAATGAAGTCCAAGGGCATATTTACTTCAAATCAAGTATATTTATGAGAACTAGTTTTAAAATAAATATTTTTTTATTGGTCAAAGTTAGAAATAAGTTGCTTATTTGAAAGTAACTCGTGTCTTACTATCAAATAAGTGACTTCCTTGCAACGGAAAAAAAGTTACTTATTTAATGTATGAAAAAAAAGTTATCAAGTTAAGTTTAAGTAACTTTAAAGCTTAGCCAAACAGTTGTAAGTAAAAGCCTTGAAAACACCACCGATTGATTTTGTTAACTAATTTATTGCTTGCGTCTGAGATTGGATTTTCTAGACATGTACACTCTATCTAAAAACTCAGCTTGTGCTCTTTTAGTTCTGCTGATCTTATTTCTTCTTTTCAGGAACCATCTGACGATGGATGCCTTTAATAGTCTTCTGTTCACAAATTATATTTAAGGCTACATATGATCTCTTCCTTAAAACTTTAGCTTCTTACCCATAAACTCAAATTGTATTTTAGGATGGGACTTTTAGAGTAAATTTAGAGTAATGCTGCTTTGGATTTCAATGTAGACAACAATCAAGATTGTCAGCTTTAGATACTGCAATTCCTGTTATATTTTTGTTGCTTTACTGGGATAGAGCGCAACTTTCGGATCTTCGATAAAGTTAATTAATTGAAGTTGTCATCTACTTACTAGATAGTTTCACCTCTTTGAAAACATTTCATCATCGATTATTTGATTATATTGTGCTCGCCGTGCTTTATAAAGGTTTGGGATAGAGCAGAGGAATTTATACCAGAAAGATTTGACTTAGAAGGGCCAGTTCCTAATGAAACAAATACCGACTATAGGTATATATTCAATCATTCATAGGTCCTTTTCCAAATGCTGTGGAATATAATTCAACAGGTGTAATGTTGCAGATTTATTCCATTCAGTGGAGGACCACGTAAATGTGTTGGTGATCAGTTTGCTTTGCTAGAAGCAATTGTTTCCCTTGCAGTTTTTGTGCAGAACCTGGATTTCGAGTTGATCCCAGATCAAAATATTGGCATGACCACTGGAGCCACTATTCACACTACAAATGTAATTTTCTCAACTCTTGATACTTTTCTCATTTATGCTCTATCACTTTTTACATGCTCTCCCTCTAACCAACCATTAGCTAGACATTGATGGGGAGGGGAACACGCTATTCATTTCTAATACTTCTCTGTATATCACGTATCTTTTCCATCTGTTTCATTGAATAAATTACTTCCCATAATTCTGCCGATGTATATTTTCAAATTTCAGTTATTTATTTAAGATCAAGAATGGTTTTTTTTTCCATGCAAATCGTAAGCTATTGAGTATGTATGCCGCCTGGTAATGGCGTTAGTATGGAAATATACAACTTTAATCTGTTATTCAGACCACAGTGCTATTCCAGTGGAAGCTTTACAAAAATGGGACAGGCTCAAATCTAAATAAATCTCATGCCTCTTGTTTTTGCCATAACACATTGGTTTTAAGACTTGCTATCACATTTATGCACCATTCGCTGTATAAAGAAAGACGCTATTGCTCTATGGCAGGGCTTATACATGAAAGTGACCGAAAGGCAAACTACATCCACCTTAGCTGGAGCGAACTCTATCAGTTAAGTTTTGTGCTTCATTCATAAACTTTTCTAACCCAAAAATTTGTTGAGGATGCACGGTTCTAAAACCTCGTGTGTAAAACTTTTTTGCCTTCTTGTTATTCTGTTTATCAGGTCACTGACGGCTTTTTGAGGGCGACTGCAAGCTATGTTTAAAAGGATAGAATTTTGTAAACATGAAGAACATGTTGGTTTCTATAGCAAGTTTAAGCTTCCTCAATAATCTACATCTGTATTTAGTGTAAAACTATTTATTCATCTCTTTGTTTCTATTATTTGATTTTTTATTCTACTATTTAGAAGAATCTGTGATTTTATATTCTTTTTTAAGGTATACGATTTAATTGTAATTGACGATTTTTGGGTACAACATAGTATTGTATTGTTCTCATAACATTGGTCGCAGCCAAGCTGTTGCAGCAATCTCAACGCCTTGTTAATTCTCTTCTTTTCATTTTTTATAACACATTATGTGTTTTAAACCTGTTTTAGTGAAAGCAAAACACGGGTAATTCAACTAGAAACTTTGACTTCTGTTTTTGATGATGATTAAAAATGGCGTGGCATGGTTTGATCAACTAAAGTGTAATTTATAGAATAACTGTTGGATTATTGTACTCAATAGGATTTTTGCAGGAGATTGATTTTTCGAGAGAACGTTGTAATATGTTGGCTTAGTTTGTCCTTTGGTGGGGATCAACATCTCTATTTATAAGCCTCCTGTCCAAGAGTTGACTGTCATCGTCACATCAAGTTACAATGTTGACCTCGATATGTTTATCATTGTCTTTATTGAAGGGATTTTATTGGCTATTGAGGTCAACAGTTCAGGTCATTATTTCATGATTATCTCTTGTCTAGACAATCATTACTTTCTTCTGATTGGTGGAGTTGGATGTGCTAATGTCAAAGATGACACTTGTCCACTCATGATTGGTCGTATGGAAGGTGGTTTTGTTAGTAGTGGAACACCTTTTCAGGGAGTAATAATGATATTTTCAGATGATGGTGGTGTGTGACCTAGCTGAATTGAAGAGTTGTTGGTCCGACATCAAATTGCTCTATTACAATGCTACTCTTAATCTTTTGAAATGAGATCGAGGTGCAATTTGAGTTCGGTCACCAACAAATTTTTTACCTTTAATATATGTATCGATTCCTCTACTCTAATTTCACGTTTTATGCAATACATACAAATTAAAGTTTTATAAAAGTCGCAAATTTCGTAAAATGTAGGGTTAAAATTGAAGTTTGACTAGTTGAAAAGTTAATAATATTTTAGCAAAGTTTTATCAAACAAACCCTTATGAGCCATGAATTTTAAAGAATATTAGATTTTCTTGTTAAGTCTAATAGCAAACTAAGCCTCAATTATAATAATTGGGTCGACGATATGAATCTTTTTTGTCATTTCATGTGGCTCATTGGTATATCCATTCAAAGATCCAAATCAGCCGCCTTAGCAACTGAAATAAGATTAGCTATTCTACGGATGTTGTGTAGCTCCTGTTTGGTTAGAATTATAATTTTGATAAAAAATTAAGTTAAAGTCAATGATTAATTTTAATTACATATTATATGAAATCCACAACTTTTCATCTACACATTTTATCGACATTTATCGAAATTTACTAAAAATATGATTTTTAGCTACACCAAATAATGGTGTATTATGTTGAGAATTGGATATTCAAATTCTATACCATTAAAAGCAATAAAATCTAGGTAATAAATAAATATAAAAGCAAATGCAAGATATATAGAGGTTCGTCTCAATGTGAAACTATGTCAGCGCCCACCAATTCAGTAATTTACTATGATGAAGAGAGTTTATAAGAAAAACTGTACAACGATCCGTGTATCTGTAATAACTAGTCTCCACTACTTAACAAAGTACAATATGATAGTACAAATAGTTAGACTGGGATGTGGACATCTAGATTCAAAGGTTTGTGGTTTGGACTTGGAATATTTTAAAAAGCTAATGAAGTAAAAATTTAGTGACTTGACTCTGGATAAGACTTCGAATGTGCGAATTTGTTGACCTATGAGTGACTAAGTTGGTCATCTGGACAGCTGAGATGAAAAAAAATGAATTACTTTTGTTTTGGTCGCTCTCGACTAAGATGCGGAAGTTCCTAATGGAGTTGAAGGTGCAAGAGCAATGACTCTTGCAAAAGGAATAGCATATTTTGCTGAAATATACGATATTACTCACTTAACCCTAAAAAACTTTCTAGAAAAAACTCTTGTACGGCAGCAGAAAAACATGGGCCAAGAGCAAAATTTGAAAAGAAAAAAAATAAATAAATGATGGTGTGATGTGGAGTATTGAAAATGCCAATGGCATATCCCTTGGAAGATGCTAACAGCCACCCTCCATTTCACTCTTTCTACTTCCTTTTTGCTTCCCTTTAACCAAAAGTGACCACACATTCCTATTTAAGTCACCTCATTCTTTCATTGCTCTCATGACTACCAGCACACTTATAATATCCAGTTCTATCTTCTTGATCAAACCCTCTTAGCATTGCCACCCCTTTTAAGTGAAGTTTTCGGGTTTTGCACGGCTGCCGCCACCATGTTGCCAATGGCTCCTGGCGGCATGTGGTGGCAACTGGCGATGGCACCACCTATCAGAAGTCTTTCCTGGTGCGCGAATGATCAAGTAATCCTCTATATGCATATGGTAAGGAATGATCATTATAAGGGTGGTGGCATGTTTTTATTACAAGGGCAACTTCTATCCTTTGGCATTTTCATCAGTTCCTTTGGGCTCTCTCTCCTTGATGTGGGGTGGCTCAAGAATAGAATTAATGTACTTCTTGATTGTTAATAATATGTAAGAGGGCATATCTTAGGCACAATTTTTCTTGTACTTTTCTGTGCTTTTCTTGGAATAAATCTGCCCCTTGGCTTTCCTACACTATCAGTTTTAATCTCATTTTTCTTAAGATCACAATGGTGGAGTCGAGTCTACGAGCATATCTAGAAAATAATGAACTCTAGTTGCGTTGTATCTACTCGTCCCCTGTTGAACTAGGATGTATATGAAAGAATCCCTACTCGTTGTACAAGAATGTTGTCGGAATTGGAACATTTAGGGTTATTTTATGCTTCGCTTGTATGCTAAATTGAATTAGAAAGTGTGGAATTTGTTGCTCTTTCTTTTTCAAATGTAATAATTAGTACAAGAAAATTGTTCCCACGCGTTAAAATACACTTAGTTGGTTCTGGTTGTCAATGATTTACTATATTTAAAGATTTGACATCACTCAAATAGATATTATGTGCCATAAACTAAGGGTGTCGGCTCCCTCAATCGAATAGCGAGTTGGATTAATCACACAACCTGGCCTCTTGGTGGGGCTCGCTAGTCAACTAGTGATTTGTATGAGAGATTTACAAATGTCGCTCCACTTAACATCCCCACATGCTTCATGTATAAATGGCGGTTCACAACCCCCCTCGACCCACCCACCCACCCAACACAACACACAGGCGAGGTGGGTGGGTAATTTTTTTTACTTTTTTATTGAGGTGGATCCCGCATGGGACCCACCTCATGTGAGAGAGTGTAGGGGTACAAAGGGATTAATCCTAGCATCCCTCCAAATGAATAGCATTATAAGCCCCTATTTGTTTGTCGTTATTTCAAAAAATTATTTGCTACAATAAAATTCTCCACCACACAATCATCCAATAAAATGTTTTACATACAAACAAATAAAATTACTTTACTTTTCAACCACACAATCTCTAAAAAATATTATTCATTACTTTATTTTTCTCTCAATAATGGGAGACAAACATACTCTAAATTGAAATTTGAGCAAAGAGTGACAAATATTTGTGTTCAGACTTGCAGTTTTCTTTGGGCGATTATGGTTTCAAGAAAGTCCGTCATTAGAAGTCTACTTCAATTTTCCACTATTAATAAAATACTAAAATTCATTCATAATAATTCAACTAACCCGTAATAAATCATGCCCAGTTGAATCAAATATTAGGATCTTGAGACTGCCAAAATTTAAGACGATTGATTGCCAAGCTGTTGCAGCTATCTCAACGCCTTGTTAATTCTTTTCTTCTCATTTTTTATAACACATATTATGAATTTTAAACTTTTCTAGTCAAAGTAAAACACTGGTAATTCATCTAGAAACTTTGACTTCTGTTTTTGATGATGATTAAAAATGGCGAGGCATGGTTTGATCAACTTAAAGTGTAATTTATAGAATAACTGTAGGATTATTGTACTAAATAGGATTTTTACAGGGGATTGATTTTTTGAGAGAAGTTGTATGCTGGCTTAGTTTGTCCCTTGATGGGGATCATCATCTCTATTAATAAGCCTCATGTCCAAGAGTTGATTGTCATCTGTTACGTCAAGCTACAATGTTGATCTCGATATGTTTATCATTGTCTTGATTGAAGAGATTCTATTGGCTATTGAAGTCGACGTTCAGGTCATTATTTTATGATTATCTGTTATTTAGACAATCATTACTTTCTTCTGATTAGTGGAGTTGGGGGTGCTAACGTCAAAGATAACACTTGTCCACTCATGATTGGTCGTTTGAAAGGTGGTTTTGTCAGTAGTGGAACACCTTTTCAGAGAGTAATAATGATGTTTTCAGATGATAGTGGTATGTGACCGAGCTTAATGGAAGCTCTTGGTCCGACATCAAATTGCTCTATTACACCTAATCTTTTGAAATGAGATTGAGGTGCAATTTGAGTTCTGTCACCACCAACTTTTTTACCTTCAATATATGTATTGATTAAACTACTCTAATTTCACGTTTTATACAGTACATACAAATTAAAGTTAATAAAAGTTGTGAGTTTCTTAAAATGTAGGGTTAAAGTTGAAGTTTGACTAGTTGAAAAGTTGATAAAATGTCGCTAAGTTTGACTAGTTGAAAAGTTGATAAAATTTTAGCGAAATTTTATCAAACAAACGAAATTTTATCAAACAAACCCTTATGAGCCATGAATTTTAAAGAATATTAGATTTTCTTGTTAAGTCTAATAGCAAACTAAGCCTTAATTCTAATAATTGGGGTCGAGGATACGAATCATTTTTGTCATTTCACGTGGCTCATTGGTATATCTGTTCAAAGATCCAAATCAGCCGCCTTAGCAACTGCAATAAGAATAACTACATCGCTCTCCTCTAACTTGTTTTATTTAGATTGCTTTTGCATCTTTATCCCAACAACTTATGTCGTCATTCACTTAATTGAACATCGACCTTTTGATATATATTCTCTTTTGGGTTATGCTACATGTACACCCTCTTTTTTATATAATCTTTTATTTACTCTCACAATAGGGTGTGGAGACCACACATTTAAGAGTTTTTTATTCACGCGAGCCCAGCGCACATGTGAGAGGGTGGCACATTTTCCGTAAACCCCATTCGGTACAAATAGAATTATCCTTCTCTTTTTTATCTTAACCGGCCTATTATGACCACACACCCATCTTAAGACCCTCAATTACCAGCTTCTTATGGAGTTCTGTCTATTAATGGCCCAATGTTCATCTCTGTTTTTGGCTCTCTCTTTGCATGAAAAAACAAGAACTTTGGCTAACAAAATTAGTTCTTTAGACAATGGGTCTTATCTATGGTTATTTAAACATCCTTCAATATATGGATTTCCTAATTATATCTATGTTTTGTAAAAATCAGACACAGTGCTATAGGTTTTGGCCAAATCCTCAATATACACCTTTTCTACCATGTAATTGGCAATGATTCATCTCTTTGCAGGAAACAAATCACTTGGCATCGCGGGTTTGACTCTGCTGAAAGTTCTGTAGCAAAAGATCTTGTAGCTGCTGAAGACCCTATCGAGGAACTACGTGCAGAAGCTAAAATGTGGGAGAGAAATGCCCAGAAGCTAATGCTTGATTTGGATCTGTCGAGAAAGGAATTCGCTAATCAGTCAAAAAAGGCTGGCAGAATTAGTAACTAAGCTCTCAGCATCATATGCAGAATGTGATGGCCTGAGGAGAGACAGAGAAGAATTGAAACTATTTTTCGAGGAATCTACAATGAAACAGGCTACACTAGAACTCAAGAAGATTCGACCACTAAACCTGAAAGCCTTGTTCAGATTCAAAAGGAACTGGAGAATGAGATAAAATCAGCAAGAATCAAATGCTAATTTAGCCCAACAGCGGAAAAGAAGTCAAGAATCAAATATCGAGCTTGTTTCTCTTCTTCAAGAACTTGAGGAAACCGTAGAACAACATAAGTTGAAATGAAGAACCTTTCATCTCTAAAATTTGACTTTAAGGAGATAGTTTCATTGCAAAAAATTCGCAGGATAATAAGAATTTGCTGCTGTTGGAAAAAATGTAGGATTTTTATTAAATTGTGTATCAACAAGAATGAAATAATTTTGATATAACTCGCACATAGGTGTTTTAGAAATTACCCTTGTAGCGTGCTTTACCAAAAATTCTTTGATCTCCTTGATTCCACCTTTAAGCCCCTTGTTTGAAAATTCTTCCTTCAAACCTTTTAACCTTCTCGAGTGTTCTTTAAGAACCAATGACAAAATGTAGAGAGTTTTTTTTTTACTTTCTTGTGTGTGGGCACAAAAACAAGATATGTGCATATCACTTAATTAACCCACCAAAAAGGTACGTGTCTAGTGGTTTGATTTTTTCAAAACTTCCAATCCCACTAGGATTCTCTTTTGTCTTTATCCAAATCATAACATCCATAGCACATGTTTGGCACATGCAAGACACACATTTTTCATTTCTGGTTTAATCAATTTATATTTCTACATTTAATAATAATAAATTATAACTCTTATAATTTATTCCGGTTCTTATTTTGAAGCCACCGAAGGGACCAAACGGACCCAATTAAATCAAGCTCCAATAAATTAATCTTGACTCGATCAACTCTTGATCGGTCTANTACCAAAGCTCTACACTCTCCTTTGTTCTACTCTTTCTTGCTCATGATGGGTGTCATTGACATTCACTCTCCATCTTGCGGGGGGAGGTTAGAATCACCACCAGCTGCCTCAGCCACGATTCCACCAGCTCAGCAAAATCCAGCAAAATAACAGATGTTTCTAGAATGCATGAGCTGGAATTCTGTTAGGAATTTTTCTGTTGAATTTGTTAGAGAATCTGTTCTCTTTCCATACATGTAAATGCTATAAGTATGCAGCTCTATTCATTGTAAATTAAGGCAAATTAATTCAATTATCAGATCAATTCATCTGAAGCCTTCTTCACTCCTTTATTTCGTTCAATCCATCAAACCTGAAATGGTATCAGAGCAATAGAAATGGCTGAAGACAATACTGATTCATCCATCGAACCCAATACTCCTATCAATCCTCCCATCAACACCAATCCTAAGGATCCTTCCAGCCCTTATTTCCTTAACCCAAATGATGGCCCTGGAACTCTTCTCACAAATCATCTCCTCACAGCTGACAACTACCACTCTTGGGCTCGCACAGTACGCCGTTCTCTTCGAATCAAAAAGAAACTTGGCTTCATTGATGGTATTCTTTGTCAGCCCTCTGCCCCGAATGATGTCCTGTTAGAACCATGGCTTGAATGCAATGACATGGTTGTGACTTGGCTCCAAAACGCTATGTCTCTTGAAATTAAGAACAGCGTTGTTTATGTTGAAACAGCACACATCTTGTGGCTTGAACTAGAGCAACGTTTTGCACAAAATAATGGACCACGAATTTTTGAATTAAAACAATCCATACATTCTCTTGCCCAAGGTGATGATTCTGTCAGCCTATATTTTTCCAAATTGAAAGGATATTTTGATGAACTTCTCAACTTTGAATTCATTCCATCTTGCACTTGTGGTGCTATGAAACCAGTCCTTGAACATCAGCAGCGTGACTGGATGATGACATTCCTTATGGGTCTTAATGATTCCTTTACCAACATCAAAGCTCAGATTATTCTCATCAAACCCTCCCCTTCATTAAGTGAAGTCTATGCACTGGTTCAACAAGAAGAAAAACGAAAACAAATCTCTCATATCCCCATCCTCCATGACACTCTCGCTATGGCTGCCAAGAGTCACTTTCCCAACACCAGACACTTTGGTTATCAGAAGAGGGAGAGACTTTTTTGCACTTTCTGCAAGATTTCTGGACATTCTTTGGATAAATGTTTTAAGGCTAATCCCCACCTTGACAAGCCAACTTGCACCCACTGCAATCTTCCAGGTCATAATGCTGATAAATGCTACAAATTACATGGCTATCCACCAGGCCATAAGCTCGCCAATCGAAGCACAGGTTCTGAGCCTCTATCCAATCAAGTCAGTCTCTCCAACCATGATCAGATCACTGAGGGATCCCAGGTTACCCTCACAAAGCAGCAATATCATCAGCTCCTTACCTTGCTCCAGTCCCAGGCTCCACAGTCTACTGCCAACCTTGTCCAGTCTCCTGCTACATCTCATCCCACGGCTTCCACTATGTCTGGTATATCTTCTTGTTTCTCAGCTTCTCAAACCTCACAGAATATTCCTTGGATCATCGATACGGGTGCTACAGATCACATGATCTGCTGCACATCATTTTACTCTTCTTTACCTAGCCAAGTGAATTTTCAGGTTAAATTTCCAAATGATACTCATGCCACCGTTACTCACAAAGGCACTGTTCAAGTCAATAAGAATATCACACTTCATGATGTCTTATGCATTCCTTCCTTTAATTTCAATCTCCTTTCAGCCCAGAAATTAGCTAGAGATCTTCACTGTTGCATCTTCTTTCTACCTAATGAATGTTATTTGCAGGACCTTTTCACTTGGAGCACGATTGGGAAGGGTAAGGCTCACAATGGCCTTTATCAGCTTCAATTGACAGAAGTTTCCCCTACTGCTCTCTCCTCTGTCTTGCCTCAGTTGCCGTTTAATCTTTCCCCTTTCTCTGCTTCTGTTATTCCTGCAAATAATCACCACCTATGGCATTGTAGAATGGGTCACTTGTCTGACTCAAGGTTATTGTTATTACAGGAGTATTTGCCTAACTTAAAATTAATGAATCACAATATTCCTTGTTCCACTTGTCATTTTTCTAAGCACCACAGATCACCTTTTTTACCTAGTAGCAATCGGGCTTTCGCCTCTTTTGATCTCATTCATTGTGACATTTGGGGGCCTTGCTCCCAAATGTCGCACGATGGATCTAAATATTTTTTAATCATTGTTGACGACTTCTCAAGATCTACATGGGTCTACCTAATGAACAACAAATCTCAAACTAGAGCAATCCTCCAGTCATTTTGTTCTCTGGTTGAGACACAATTTCACAAGACCATTAAAATCATTCGATCTGACAACGGCAATGAATTCGCAATGACTAATTTCTATTTACAAAAGGGTATCATTCATCACAAAACCTGCGTTGAAACCCCCCAACAAAATGGCATCGTCGAACGGAAACACCAACACATTTTAAATGTCGCTCGTGCCTTAAGATTTCAATCTCATGTTCCCCTCTCTTTTTGGGGAGATTGTGTTTTGACAGCTACTTATCTTATCAACAGAACGCCATCTCCCAATTTACAAAACAAATCTCCTTACGAGCTCCTTTTTCAAACCAAACCATCCTACACTCATTTACGAACATTCGGCTGCCTTTGCTATGCCTCCACATTAAAACAAAATAGGCAGAAATTTGACTCTCGAGCAAGGAAATGCGTTCTACTTGGCTACCCCTTTGGCATTAAAGGCTACAAGCTGCTTGACTTAGACACTACTTCCATTTTCTACTCTCGCGATGTCACCTTCTATGAAGATGTTTTCCCCTATAGCAATATTTCCCAGCCACCTTTATCTACTTCGCTTCCTCCTCCTATCCCAGTACCTGCTAAACTTTCACCCTACACTGACTTCATCTCAGAGAATACATCTGTTCCCCTTTCTTCCCCCACTCAAGCTTCTCCCTCTACTAATCCTCCGACTATACTTTCTCCTCCAAATTCTCATTCTCCCAGTTCATACCCAGAATCTCCTCCTGAACAAATCACTCCCCCACCTCAATCCCTTCCTCGCAGACCACAAAGATCAAAGAAAACTCCACCATATCTTCAGGATTACTACTGTCAACAGGTCATTGTGCCTACTGCTTCTCCATCAAGCTCCAAGGTAACAGGTACTGGTCTCCCTACTTCTCTCTATCCGTTATCTTCTGTTTTGTCTCTTGCCAAATTATCCCCTGCACATGCTGCTTTTACCACTTCTATACTTGATCATACTGAGCCACAGTCCTATGCACAAGCTGTGAAGAGCACAGACTGGCGTACAGCCATGGATAATGAAATTGCTGCTTTGGAGTTCAGTTCAACAACACCTGGGATATCATTGATCTGCCACTTGGTAAGAAAGCCATTGGATCCAAATGGGTTTACAAAATCAAATATAATTCAGATGGTACTGTTGAGAGACACAAGGCTCGTTTAGTCGCCAAAGGTTACACCCAAGAGGAGGGGCTTGATTACCATGAAACATTTTCCCCCGTTGCCAAACTTGTGACTGTAAAAACATTACTGGCCGTTTCTTCCATCAAAGGCTGGTTTCTACAACAATTTGACGTTAACAACGCCTTTCTCCATGGCGACTTGGATGAAGAGGTATTTATGAAGTTACCCCCTGGTTATATCGTTCAAGGTCAGAATAAGGTTTGCAAATTACGAAAGAGTCTATACGGCCTTAAACAGGCTTCTCGACAATGGTATGCGAAATTCTCCACTTCCTTACTCCAATTTGGTTTTACCCAGTCCAGGGCTGATTATAGCCTCTTCACAAAGAAATCTGATCACTTTTTTATAGCCTTACTTGTTTATGTCGATGATATCATTGTAGCATCAAATGACCCTCATGGTATTTCTGATCTCAAGACATTTCTGGCTTCTCAGTTCAAGATTAAAGATCTTGGCACTCTCAAATATTTCCTTGGTTTGGAAA